TTGCAACATGGTGATAACAGGTTTTTTTTTTAATCAGAGTATGATTCACAAATCTTCCAGCTAAACAATCAAACTGAGCAGTTTGCAGCATCTGCAAACTACATTGCACATAAACTGGGCTAAAAGAGTTTTTATGCTGCTAAGACCATCAGCTGCTCACCTCCCTGATGCAGCTCTGCTTGCTAAAAGATTTACAACATGTAGAACCAGGAAACAATCAGGGAGGGCACTATATTTTACTGGCAAAAATGTATGGCTGGTGTGTGCACAATATTTTTTAAAAATCAGCTTTTTCTGTCATCTGAATTCTGTGAGGTTTTCTGCTAATCAAATGTCTCTGGCTTATTTCTAATACTTAGACTTCAAGCTGTGATAAGAGACAAAACTGTAGCCAAAGACTTGAAGTCTCATCAGTGATTAAGATTGTATTTAATGTAAGGAAAGTTTAGAGATGACTTATTCTTCTGTTTTCTAGCTCTCTGCTATGAGCAGATGAAATCAGAAGCTTGCCAGAAACAGCAGCATTATCTCAGGATCAAAAGGGCTTCTGGAATTCAGGCAGAGCAGCAGAAGAAGCTTTTCAGTCCCAGCACCCCCCGGCCCCGTGCCTGTGCCTCGGGAAGGTCGGTGAGAGCAGGAGCTGCAAGGCCCCTGGCAGATGCTGGTAAGGGCAGCCAGGTAGGACAGCACCTCCTCAGACATGTGCACCTCAGAGAAACAGATGGATTAAAGAAAAGGGTCTCTGGAAGCCAGGATGAAAGGTTTGCAGTGGTAAAACAGATCATTTGCAGAGACCGTGCTGGGTAGAGAAGCTGCTTTAGATCAACCTAATAAAGAGAACAAGTGCTCAGCTCCCCCTGCAAGGCTTCCCTCTCTGGTGTAGGGCTTCTTCATAGAATCATGGAATGGTTTGAGTTCGAAGGGACCTTAAAGATCTAGATCTACTCCCCCTGCATGGGCAGGGACATCTCCCACTAGACCAGGTTGCTCCAAACCCCATGTGAACACTTCCAGGGCTGGGGCAGCCAAGGTCTCCCCAGCACCTCATGGATGTGGATTCTGCTGAGCACATGGAGGGTGACAAAGCAGGAGCCTTTCTCCAAGACCTCAGAGTGTAGGAAGGTAGGAGGGATCAGGAAGAGGGGGGCTTCTGACCCTCCTGGCTTTTATAGAGCATGGCAGGAGATGGGAGTGAATCCTGACCTTTCTGTTCTGCCCCTGGATCCATCAAGGTCCTAAACACCCTCACTCCAGGTCCTTCCAGTAATACCATAAAATCAGCCTGGGCCCCCTCCCTCTGTAACAATCCTCAGCTCCAAAAATGTTGTTTTCTTTTTGCCAACAGGTGGCAAATCTAAACGTGGTCCTTCTGGCTACGGACCCGCTCGTGCTGACGGGACAGAAGCCACTTTGCAGCGTGAAGAGAGAACAGGCCAAATAAGTTGTCCAGTGCTTGAGGACAAGTTGCTCCTGCAGGTCAGCACCCTGCAGAACACCTGCAGGTCAGCCTCAGTCAGGTTCAGCACTGAGCACACTGCAGAAGTCAGGGAAGCACAGGAACCTCTGTGGGAACATCAGCAACACTGCCTGGAAGTGCAGCCACCCCAGACCCCTCCGCAGCACAAACCCCATCAGGCAGCCCAGCTCCGACGCGCGAGGTTGCACAGTGGTTCTCTGGCTATGACAAGAGTTTCTGTGCCCTTTGAAACAAAAAAGCTGTGGCTGAAGCTGAAGAACTCTTTGCACGGGCCCGTGGTGAGATCCTCCATCCCTGCTCCCTCCGCTGTACGTCCCAAGACCTGTGGGTCCCTGCCAGGCGGGCGAGCTCACGGTGCAGCTCATGGCACAGCTGCTCCTCTCCCCAGGGCTGGGGACGTGCCTGTTGACCCCTTTGCAGCTTCTACTGAGCTCATCAAATCAACACGTGTGGCAGTTGCACAGATGAAAAAAGAAGCACTTTCCAGGAGAAGAAAGTCCTTTTCTCCCTATGCTGCAGATCCCTCCCGGAGGGACAACGAGTTCAGGCTTCTGACGGGAAGACAGAAGGAGGAGCAGGAGGCAGCTGCTGCGGCTCAGTACCAAGCACGCCTGGCAAAGCTCACACAAGAGCAGGAAAGAGCAAGCAAGAAGGCCTGGTTGAGGAAAATTAAAGGTCTACCTGTAGATTCTTTCACTGAGGAGGGGAAAACACCTGCTCCTGAACTCGGGCATAACACGTTTATCTGAGGTGATCCCTTAGTGCAATAAACAACCAGTGTCTGAGGATTCTGGTGCCTGCCTTGTCAAGATCCCCCTGGTTCCTTCTCTGTAAGTTCTTCTAAGAGGTGTTACTGGTATATGCAGCTATTTCTCAGGGCAGTTAAGAGCAAACACAGCCCAGTTTGACACTGGTACAGCTCAACATGTGGCTCAGCTGTCTGTGAGTAATAGTAACAAAGTCAGAGTTTATGTGGATTGATTAGAGTTTATAAACTGCAGACGTGAGGACTGGCTGAGCCTAGAGGATGGTCACAAGCTGAGTGAGTCTAGTTGGAGGCCAATAACTAGTAGGGGTAACTCATGGGTCAATGCTGGGTCTGATTTTGTTTAACTTCATTAGTTAGTGCCATGGGCGCTGGGCAGGGGCACCCCCAGCAAGTTGCTCCAAGAGGAGCAGCCGAAGGACCAGAGGGTGTTGCTGCCACCCAGAGGGACCTGGACGGGCTGGAGACACGGGCTGAGGGACCTGCCCCCAGGGAGGAGAAACACCAGGACATGCTGGGGCCACCCAGAGGGAAAGCAGCTTAACATGTAATTTGTACTAAATAAGAAATATTATTCTCTTGCACTAGGAGGCCTGACAGGACAGTCCTTGGCATTAGTGGCCAGGATAGTCCTGGCCACTGTCACCTCAGGGGCCTTTCACCAGCCCTTCTGGTTTGAGAGGACTCTCTGAAATTCTCCATGGGCAGGTGATTCATTTTGCTGATTTTAATGTCACCTTCAACTTCCAAACCTGGGGACTGAGCCAGACCTGGATAACGGTGAAAAATACCAGCAGCTGTTCCCCAAAGAGTGAGAACAAACAGGCCATAAACCCCACGTGTTGTGCACATCTCTGAGGGAGCCAGAAGATAATGAAGATGTGGGAGCTGGACTGTGGTGATTGTGACCTGGTGCTGAGGGGTGTGAGGGCTGGGGACAGGTGGGTGGCAGGTGGGGACAGGTGGGTGGCAGGTGGGGACAGGAAGGGGGGTCAGGTGGGGACAGGAGAGGGTGGCAGGTGGGGACAGGAGGGGGTGG